CTATACTATATATAGCCATCCTTAGCCTTGCTTTGACACATTTGGCTTATGAATCGTGAGTTTGGGGCCTACTCCTGCTGACTGGCTGACTGGTTGGCTGGTTGGCTGCTTCTGACAACTGCAACCGCACAGTCCGCAATTACATAAATCCTCCGCAGCTGCATAGATTTTTCGGCCTAACGGCAGCAACAACAACAGAGCACCGAGAAGGAGAGAGAAAGGAGAGAGAGAGAGAGAGAGAGAGAGAAGAAAAAAACGAAAACGAGCGGAAATGAGAGAAAAGAATAAATGCAATTTTATGTTTATGCACTTCGTTGCAGCTGCCACGGACATGGACACGGACACAGACACGGACACGGACATGGTACGCCGGACAGCATGGCACCGGCTGAGATACCGCAATGCCTCCCTCTCGACCGAGTCCTTGACTTGTGATGCTGAAAATAGTTCACACACCCACACACACACACACAAACACACGCTCATTGTTTATGGATACAGTTTATATGTTTGTATTGCGACACTTTACAAGCCGCGTTATTTTGAGTTCGTTTTTATTGTTGCTGTTGTTGTTGTTGTTGTTGTTGTTGTGGTCGTTGTGGTTGTTGTTGTGCGCTTAACACGTGCAGTGTTGTAAAGTGCTTTGCAAATGAAATTGATGCCCCAGTTGCATTAGTTTGCTATAAATATATAATACATTGTTAAAGTGTATGTGTGCATGTGTGTATGTAGATGTGTACATGATTTGGCTACGCACTCGCACAGCCGTAATTAAGTTCAAGGAGTCAGAGTGAGCAGATGGGGACGTGATTTGCCTTGGGGGCTCCTTTGAGGCCCAGGCGCTTTGCTTTGGTTAACTTAGTCGCAGCACGTAGTTGACGTGTATAAATAATAAAATAAATACCCAAATGCGAATGTTTTTAAGTGTATCTGTGTCTGTGTATGTGTGTGTGTGTGCAAATGAATGGAACCGCATTCTGCGGTCGATATGCCGCATTCGAGGTGTCCTTTGTGACTGCAAATTGGCCTGTCGTATGCATAAAGCTACTTCTGTTGCTTTTGTTGTTGTTGTTGAAATATGAAATGGAAACAACTGTGAAATTAATCAGTCTACATGACTGTTATATATGTATATATATATCATATATAGTATATATAGTATATTTGCTCTGTTTGCTCTCGAGTCGAGTGCAATCGATAAAGAAATTTAAGCATTTCGTTTTCCCCGTTGATCGCAACACGCATATTCCGTGTGGCATGCAACATTCTAAGCATTCAAATGCCTGTCATGTACCCTCTGACCAAAAAAGATCAAATGACACGACAGCAAACAGCGAATCAGCTTGGCTAGAGCCGGGGCACAATGTCAATGTTGCATGGCTGTATGTAAGTGTGTTAGTGTGTGTGTGTGTGTGTAGTCAAATAAGCATCAGACAATAATCACAATTTGATTGGCAACAACTACAGCTAGAGCTTTGGCCCTGAGCGGAGTCAGCACACAACATGCGAGCCCAAATAACAATARTAAGGAAAACACTTTTCTTTTCTTTTCATTTTTTGTTTGTTTTTCAGCTTAGAGCTAGTTAAGGATAGCTTGCTGTGAAACCTTGGTGGTATTGGTACTCTGAATTGGATTCCCAGCAGCTGCTGCGCGTCTGGCTGGCACTAACTGAATGTTGAGCATGTTGCGACAACATGCCACATGCCACATGCCACATGCCACATGCCACATGCCACTTGCCACATGCGGCACAGGCGCAATGACACACGCATGTGTTGCCCGTTAGAGCAGAAAGTCGTCACTGGAGATCAGTAGAACGCACAATGAATATATATGTATATATACCATATATAGGCATATTTTTGCATATATCTGCATATTTTCTTTATAAACTGTTTCGTAATTGGCTTAGACACGCACACAAAACAAAACACTTAAGCACTTTGAAAAAAATTACAAAAAAATAAATAAACTTATTTAAAAGTCGAGCTCCAGTTGGCTTCCAGACAACAGCTGCTTCGCGCACATGGGCTGCCGGCACGTGTCACCAGGTATTTATGCCCCAGAGCTAGCACAACTCCTTAAAGATGCTCGCAGCATCCGAAAAGGAGGCCAGCGCCAGAGACAGAGACGGAGCAGCTGGATGGCAGCCAAAAGTAAATTGCAACAAAGTTACGTAGGCAAACAAACACAAACAAATTTCGATGGGGGGCTGAATAGCAGTTGACATGTAATCGGTACATGCAGATATATGGCTATATAGTATGCATTCATATATCCACATATGTTTATATACATACATTTGTGCATGTAAATAAACAATATTCGGCGAGTGTGGCACTTAATGGGCAATTCACAGTTAGTTGCGTGCTGTGTACGCGTATATATGTGTGTGTGTGTAATTGGTTACATACTCATAAGCATGTGCGTTTCTTTGGCTGGCATATATGTATGTTATACATATATATATATGTAGGTATATAGTTAAATATGTATATTTCAGTTTTTTAAGCACTACATTTGATAAACGTTGCATACATACATACAAACATACATATGTTTCAGTTTTTGCTATGCTATATTCACTATATCTATGCTACAAATGTTCAATATTTTAAAATAAATATTTTATTGTTGTCGTTCGCTTTTTCAATTCTTTAAATTGTTTATTTTGTTGTTGCTTTGTGTTGTTGTTGTTGTTGCTATTATTGCTATTGTTGTTGTTTGGTTTATTTGTTTTTATGCCGCTTTAGCCGCGCGCCGTGGCCATTCGTTGCGTCTGACACGCGGAACACGTAACACCGCAATGAAGTCGACAGGCGAAAGACAAAATATTTTGGCCCGCTAGCCGAAAACAGCAAAGCGAAAATGGCGAATACGCTGGCAGTGACAGAGGCAGCAAGCATAAAGCAAAAGGCAGAAAGCGGACCGACCGACCAGGCGACCGACCGACCAAGCGACCGACCGACCGACCGACCTGGCACAATGGTCACAACACACACGAACAAGCCTAGCAGCGGGGCAGCGCAGCAATGCGGAGGCATCTTGGCGAATAAATATCAGAAAACAACAGAAGCGGGCGAATTGAGAAGACGACGGGCATCTCGGGCAACGGTAAAGACGACGGCGACGACAACGAGTGCGACGGCGATGGCAGCGACAGAGGCAGCGGCATTGGCATCGAAACGACGACAACGCTAAATGCACGTGTTATTTGTAACAGCAGCGCAAAAAAAAAAAAAGAAAGGAAAAAGTGGAATGAAAGAAATGAAAAAAACAATAAAACACAAGAACATTTCGTCGAGAGTGTGTATGACAGAGAGAGAGAGAGAGCAAGCATGGGAGAGAGCGCAGGCGAGCGAAGGAGAAAGAGAAAAAGAGAGGACGCGCAAAAGAGCAGACTAATAGCACGCGCAATTGCAATTGAGAGTGTTACAAACAGAAGCCAACGGCAAAAGCAGCAGCAGCAGCAGCAGCAGTAGCTATTTGACTCTCTGTTTTTGTGGTGAATTTGAGCGGCACACACGTGTTCCACTTTTCGAGTACACCAGCCAACAACAAGCCGCAGTGCAGCCCATCAAGGCCCACAAGCTGCCCGCCCATTCCCAGAGCTACTAGCAACAGCAGCAGCAGAGGCAGAGGCAGCAGCACAGGCAGAGGCAGAGGCAGAGGCAGAGGCTGAAGTAGAAGCAGCACCTCGCAATCATAGCGCGGCTCTTGTTACTACATTCTGTCCAAAATGTGCCTTGTGCTAGGAAAATGGTAATGGACACTTACACGCACGCACACACACATACACATACACATGTGTGTGTAGATGTATGTAGGTATATAAATGGAGGCGCACATGCCATGTGCATTTGTATGCCTTGCTCATACGCAATTTGTGTCGAGTCGCAAGTGGCCACAGTTTTTCTTTTTTGTTTTACTTTCTGTGTGTGAGTGTTTTTTTTTTTTCGCCTGGCTTATGCAGAGCGTAAGCTTAGTTTACAGTTTGTTTTTCTATATATTTCTGTTCTCTTGTTGCCTGGTGTCGTTTGTAGCCACACGAAAGTCCACCCTGACATAGATACCATATAAATATCACATTTTGAGCGCAGAGTCAGCGCCGGGCCGAGTGCTTGACTGCAAACCGCAATCTCTGCATAATCAACGGATGAGGGAGGGGGCGGAGGAGGGACCAAGGAGGGCATTTTGCCAACTGCCAAATTTATTTAACTATTTAATTAATTAAATTGATCAAGCAGACAATTGTTGGGAAATTGCAGAAGCGACAGCAATTAATTACTCGACTAGACCAAATAAATCTCTCGCTCGGCCACATGTCGTATGTGCAATATTCAGCAGTGTCGCATGTCAGCCACATGGCGTATGAGTGATACGATATAATATTAAATAATATGTCGTGTGGCTAATGTGTATGAGCGCACACTCCAAACGAAGCATACGCATAATTAAACCATGAATATTACATTTGGTCAGAGCGAGAGCTAAGAGATATTAAAAGAAATTACGGTATAACACGTAATATATGGAAAAACTTGTTATAAATCGCTTAAATTCACTTATGAAACCTTTTTGCCTTCACTTAGCTCAGGCCCTTTTTGAAATATTCATTGTTATTCCCCATGCCGCATGAATATTATATTATGACATGGAGCAATATGCCTTCAGGTAAATGATTTGCAGAAAATCATAAACACAGTTTTGTGCCAAGCTATAACTGCATATCGATCCGTTAGCTAAAAGTCCCAACACATTTGAAACACATGTCGTATGCGTAATACTTCCCACTGAATAACTGAAACGAGAGATATTACACGCAGCTTAGTAGATCAACTTGCAGCTTATAGCTCTATAATGTTGCATTCAGACGGACTGCCGGACGTACAACAAGATGGACATTGTATAAAAATAATATGCTATATTTACTTTCTTGAATGAGTATATACATAATATAGGAAATTTTATGTTAAACTTGTAAAAATTTAAATCTAATTTAAAATATTACCAAAAAATATTAATATTCAGTTGACTATAAGTCTAAACTCTGTTCCATCACATAGTCTCACTATATTCACTAAACACTTTTGCCCACATTTCGTATGAGTAATATTTCCAATGTGAATCACTCATACGACACGTGGCATACGTGGACCTTAGCTTATCTCAGCTTTTCGAAAAACTCACTTTTTAATCGTTCTTAAATGCATTTAATTTCAATTACTCTCCGTATAATTGTACATGGGGACGCGATTTGAATCTCTCCCGTTTTGGCACGTCAAATGTCTGCGATAGAACTGAAATTGTTGGCCACTGTCGCCTCAGCTTAAGCGTTGAACAATGCGCTTAATTCGCACATCAATAACGCATAAGCGATAAAAGTTTTTGTTATGGGAATTAGATTAATAATTCAGCGTTAATTCGCATTTACTCGCACAATTGCAGTGCGATTCTAGGTTGAAGATAGTGTAAAAAAAAAGCAGTAAATATATTGAAATCCACACGTTGATCGACTTGGAAATACCCTATTAAAAATAATATTAATAAATTAAAAACTAGTAATATAAATTTGGCAATTTTTTTTTAGCTTTTTTTATTTTGAGATTTTTTAGATGGATTATTTGACACTTTCCATATTGAAAATGTTGTTTTTAGTTCTCGCTTTGTCTTAACTAACAAAGTATAGGGAATCGAAAAGCTATTGGCTCAATATATCCATCATTCCAACCACATTGTTTTGAATGCCAGCCTGAATATTCGATTGGCGGTGCATGTCTCGGCTAGTTGGTGCTTCTTCTTCTTCTTTTTCTTTCTGCTCACACATGTTCAGTGTTGTAAATGGATGGCAATCGCACGCTGAAAGCTGAACGCTAAAAAGCTCTTGCACACCAACTGCATACGCGCGCATTCAAAAGCTTCCCCAGTGACAGTGACCGTTTGCATGCCTAACGAATCAAGAGGCAGCGCTTGCCAATCGACGCTCGCTCAATTATTGGCACTGGGGAACATCTGGAGATGCGAATGTAAATGTATAGATTATCTATATATTTGAAGAACATTTAATGAGCTTCGAGTAAGGAGAGCTGGTTGTTATGGCCTGAAAGCACATTAAAGCTTGCAAATTAAGCTTTCAGTACGCTTTTGCTGCCCTTCGACTATTCAGATGTCATTGCAAGTAAGTCTAGAGCGACTAATATTTATGTGTTATGTAGGCTACAGGCAGCTCAGCCTATGAGCAACGCTTCGGCCTCGTAAACTACAAAAGCTAAAAGCTTAAAATTAGTATTTTCATATATGTCCAGACCGAATGCACACCTGGGGTAAAGCTATTTCCAATATCTGCTTAGATTATCTTGATATCAATATAAATTAGAAAACTTGTGTATTTAAAAAGAAAAAAAAAAATCTATTTATAGATTTTGATTTGTGAATTTTGGCACGACAAATAAAATATTCTGTTGAATGAACCTGCTCTATGTTTAGATCATTAATGAACTATAAATGTCTATATATATACCCACATAAATAAGCAAAATTCTTGATAGCAGCAATTCAGAGTGTTCACTGCTCCGTACTATGAGATTTCTTATAAACATATACTATATGTAAAATCGTATTTGCTTTAGTTACTCACATGATGCGATGGTAGGCATCCGATTGCGTTTGGGCACATGTCACGGATTGCTCGGACTCCGTAGAATCATCGCGCAGCGTGGCAACGCCGAGCGGTAGGATGGGTATTATAGCAGCTGTTGCAGCTGCCGCTGTTGCCGGCGGTCCCGCCAATGCCGCCGTGTATGCTATCGGCGGCGTACCGGTAAACGTTTGCGTCTGCGGAGATGGTGTCGTGCTAACGGCCTCCTATGCGAAGCGAGCCACAGGAAGAAAAACACAAATGGAATTTAAGCGTATATATAGTGTCTAGATATCGGACAGATGGTACGGTGCAGTGCACAATATGTATATAGGTAGAACACAATAAAAAAAAACCTTGAATTCGGCGGATTCCTGTATGGAGTAGCGTTTGCGTTCGTATTGAATTTCCCGCTCAATCGAGCGACTGCGAAAGGCGGGCGGCAGCGAGCGATCCGGCGGTGTTTGCAACTTGGGCGTGTCCGGTGTATGAACGCGTCCGCTGGCGCTCACCTGTGTGGTAACGCCCTGTTGCAGCTGCAATTGTTGGCGTTGCTGTTGCTGTTGTTGCAGTAGCTGTTGTTGCTGTTGTTGTTGTTGCTGTTGTAGCTGTTGTTGTTGCTGCTGCTGCTGCTGCTGCTGTGAATGCGACGAAGTTGTTGGTGGACTTTTCTCTTGTTGCTGCTGCTGCTGTTGTTGCTGTTGCTGCTGCTGTTGCTGTTGTTGCTGCTGCAGCTGCTGTTGCTGATGCTGGTGTAGCTGCTGCTGCTGCTGCCGCTGCTGGTTCTGCTCCTCGCGCTTTTGCTGGCGCCGTATCTCAAAGTCCAGCAAACGCGCCTCTCGTTGCTCCTTGTCGCGCTGTTTACATGCAATTGTTGCAAAGTGCATTTTAACTATAAGTTACTCAGCTCTGCGGCCATTTTAATTGATTTGCCTAATTACGAGCGATACACTTGTGCAGAGTTACTCGGGCATCGGGCCTTAAGTTGACGCGAGATGCGAGATTTAAAAAAAATATAAACTGTTTTGTTTGCGTTTTTTAATTGGGTTTTGCTTTGCTTTAGATTGGTTGCGTTTGCTTTTGCTTTTGCTTTTGTTTTTGCTTTTGTATTTTACTTTTCTGTTGTTTTTTTTTTAGTTTGTCTTCTGTCTTGTTCACGCACACGCACGGGCACACTCACACGCACAAGCACACACGCACAGCGAGAGAGTAATTTGGGCAGAGAGCGAGAGTGGGAGAGGGAAGAGAGCCAGACAGGGTGACAGTGAGGGAGAGAGAGAGAGGGAAAGAGGGAGAGCGGAGAGCGGAGAGCGGATAGACTCGCACACTGACACACTCACCTTGTAATTGATAGCGTCCTGCTCTTCCTTTTTGGCCTCACGTTCGTTGCGCTGACGATCGCGTTGCTTTTCCTCGTCGGTTTGCGCTGTTTTGCTGTCTGCCGTCGGATAATGCCGGTTTAAAATTGCGCATAGAAGAGAAACAGAAACAGAAACGGAAATGCCGATTGATAACCAACTATGTACAGCTAAATGAATTGCCAACGTGATTGACGTGCTGGCATCTTCTTCTTCTTCTTCTTCTTCTTCTTCTTCTTTTTCATCTTTAACTTCAACTTCAGCATCCGCTGGCAAACATGCGCACGAAATCCTTCTCCAAAATTAAAATCAATCATGAGCAATTCACGAGCAGACAAAAAACCAAAAACAGAAAACAAAATCAAATAAAACGAACGCAAAATGAATAAACATCTATAACTATTATAAGTAACTATAACTATATATTATATGTATTATATATGTACATATGCAACTAATTGGAGAGAAACATTTAAGGGTTTTAGCGGGATCATCGGCATGCCATCAAACTAAGAGAACTTACCGGGATGAAACCAAACTACTCAAACAAACAAATTAACCAACACACACAAACTTACGCAAACACAAGCCGAAAGCTAGAAGAGATCAACAGAAATGAACTAGTTCTAGTTAGCTACAATCAGTTCCCTGTCGTTCGCATTCCGGCGTGCACAATGCAGAGACGAGTTTCTACTATTTACATAAACTTACGAAATCTAGCTAGAGATAGAGAGAGAGAGAGAGAGAGAGAAAGAGACTAAGAGCAAGAGCGAGTGCTACGAATAAGCAAAACTATAATTTTACTTTACTGGTATGCAGTTGTTGTTGTACTTATGTATGTATGTACATTTCCTAGAGGAGTGAGTGTATATAGATTTTTTGGGTTATTTGGGTATATATGCTGAACTATGTGTCTAGCCTGAAGGTATACTACGATATTTTCTATTGATTTTTGGGCGAATTTCAACTTAATCTATGAACTAATCCAGATCAAATGAATCTTTACTTATGTTTATATAGATGTATTCTGGATTCCTAGGTATATGTGTATATGTATGTATATATATGCATATATGAACGAAAGCAGCCAGAAATCGCTGAGCATAAACGGATTTGGGAGAAGAATTTAGCTGTCTTATAAGCAAAAGCTAAGTTTTGGATATGAGCTGTACTATATATACATATGTATTTCTATGAAATTTTTACTACGAAACCAGCTCAAATTTATAGTAAAGCCAGACATAATATAATCATAATTGTATTTCATATATATTACTATGTTATTCTCCTTCAGTAAAGCCGAAAGCCCTAGAGCTCTACAAGCTAATATATATATTTATATATATTGATTCATTTGAACTAGTTCTTCCTTTGGTTTGCATTATTATTATGTGTTATTATTGTTATTATATTATTCATGGTGGTACGCAGCTAAGTGCAGGTAAACTACCGTCTTGGCCCTTTGGCACCTGTCTAATTGAATAAGTTCGTAAGTTTTGCTTTTAACCCATTGTCATTGGGGAAAAAAACGGAAGCTTCGCAACCTTCAATTTGTGTTAATGCATTTTATGCATACATACATACATAGATGCATAAGTATTGCATACAGACATACATACCAGATTGTTGTTGCTGTTGTTTGTTTTATTTTTTGTGTGCTTGTGTTAGTTGTGCTGCTTCTTCATGTTCTTCTTCTTCTTCCTCTGCCTCTAGTTGTTTGTTTTGCTTTGAGCGCAATAATTGTATTAAATGTGATTACATATTCACATATATACGGRTGTATGTAGGTGTGTGTGTGTGAGTGTGTGTAGGTGGGTGGGTGGCTGTATGATGTATGTGTGTATGTGTGTGTGTGTGTGTGTAATATAACCTTTGGCAATGGGAATCACTTGAAGCGAGAATTATGAACTGAGACGCGACGCATTCTACTTATGGACTTACTACATCTAAAGTCTCTCTCTGTGTGTGAGTGTGTGTGTGTGTGTGTCTGTGTGTGTGTGCATAAGTATACAACAATAGCAAACCAAACGAAACGTAATGAAAATGAAAATTGCGAACTAACGAAACGAAACTTTTTTTGCAAACGAAACGTTGGCCTAAATAATGCCCAGCAAAACAATT